CCTGGGCCCCGCCCGTGGGGGTCCCCCGTGGCTGGAGCCGGGTGAGGGAGGGGTGTTGGTGGTAACCCCTTGCCTGCCGTGCCCGGCCCCAAGCTGCCCCGGAGGATGCAGGACCTCATCCTCCCTGTCCTCAGTCACGCGCTTTGGGAAGGATCCAGTCACCCAGGTCTATTTGTAGTTTCTCTCTTCCCCTGCCCAGCTCCGTGCCCTTCTCACGCCCTCGGAGGCTGGGCTCCCTGCCCAGCTGCCCCTCTCAGAGAAGGGCCGCTCTCCCAGCAGAGCAATTATCCCAAGTGCCAGCAGGAACAGCCACATCTTGAACCCTCAGCATGTACGTTTTGTGCTTTTTCCCTTTTCTTCCCGGCTGCACAGCCAGAAACTGTTCTGCCCGAGGTGGATCCTTGCTGCCCTGGGCGGTTTGCAGCCGCTCCAGCACCCAGCGCTCTGCACCCACCATCCTGCTCTTGCCAGTGCAAGTCTCTGAGACATGACCTGAGGATGTGATCACCTGGAGAAGGTCCTGGGGCTGGTCCTCAGTAGGACGGGGAGCTGGGCCTTGCAGGGCTGTCTTGGCTAAGGTGTGCCTGGTACATCTCACACCTGCGAGCTGCACCTGGTGCCTCTTGCTCAGGCCCTCGGTCCCTCGTTGTGGGTGTTCTCCTGCCACAGCCCAGCCCCGTGCCTCGTCGCAACAGCCCTGCCTGATCCCCGGCTCCAGCTCGCTTGTGCTTTTCTCTCCTTGGCAGGGACAAAACTGCCTCCTGCCTCACAGCGTTACTCAGGGCGGGCATCGTGCTCCCTTTGCCTCCCCTGGCTGTGGCCACGGCACAGTCACCATTTTCTGCTGACTCTGGAGGCGCGATGGAGCAGAGATCCACTCCCTGGTGGCAAGGGATGGGACAGGCTCTCCCTTCCAGGGGGTACAGCAGATGTGAACATCTGTGGCAACACGCCGGGGGATGCTGGGGCTGGGGCTGTGCCGGTGCACCCCAACATTCCTACTGTGGTGCGTGTGGAGCTCAGCACCCTCGCTCTGCTCCTGTGTCCTGCCAGGTCCCTGCCTGCTCTGACGGCAGAATCGTGGAATCACAGACTGGTTTGGGCTGGAGGGGACCTCAAATATCATCTTCTTCCAACCCCCCACCATGGGCAGGGACACCTCCCGCCAGCCCAGGCTGCTCCAAGCCCCGTCCAGCCTGGTCTTGAACCCTTCCAGGGATGGGGCATCCACAGTTTCTCTGGGCAACCTCTTCCAGCATCTCACCACCCCTCGAGCCTGCAGCAAAGAACCACTCGGTCACTCACTCCACTCCCTCCTCCCCCCACCCTCATCCCTGTAGGGGGGAGAAAATTTGACTAAAGAGGCTCAAGGACAGAGATTAGCAAAGGGAGGTTTCATTGACCACTTACAGTCGTGGGCAAAAACCAGAGCAGACTTGAGAAGAAAACATAAATTCAATTCAGTAATTATCATACTGAGAGAAAATAAATACAACCTGATCTTAAATACACTTCTACCCACCTCTTCCCGGCTCCCTCCCTCTGGTCGGTGCCCCTGGCCATCGCTCCTTGTCCCTGGCAGTCCTTCCTCCTAGGGCTCCTCCAGCCCTCCCCCGCGGCCGCCTGGTGTCTGTCTCACGGGAGGCAACCCTCTCCCTCCACACGAGCCCTTCCTACCAGC